GGTAGAAGCCACTTGTCTGCTGCCCCCTCTTCACCTTTTAAAACATGAATCATAGGTATTCCTGATGTCTCCATTCAAAAAAGAAAAGAAAAAGAAAATTTATAAAGGATTATTCCATAGTCAGAGTAATTAAATTTTATCATGACTCATATTTTTCTCACATATTTTATTATAAAAATTTCAAGTGTACAGAAGTTGAAAATATTGTATAGTAAACATACTTGCACCTATCACCTACATTCTCCAATTACCATTTTGCTATATTTGCTTTATCAAGTATCTATGTAATCATCTACCAATCTGCTTTATTTTTTAAAACTGTACTTCAAAGCAAATTAGACATCACTGCACTAGATATACATTGACAGGGAACTGCCAGATATTCAACCCAGTGTCAGATGAGGATGTGGAATGAGGGACCATTGCTAACATCAGATTGATCTTGGCTGAGAGCAGAGCGTACCAGAAAGATGTTTACCTATGCTTTATTGACTATGAAAAGACTTTCAACTGGGTGGATCATGACAAGCTATGGACAACATTGAGAAGAATGGGTATTCCAGAGCACTTGACTGTGCTCATGAAGAACCCGTATATAGACCAAGAGGCAATTGTTAAAATGAAACAAGGAAATATCAAATAGTTTAAAATTAGGAAAGGTGTGTACCAGGGCTATATTCTCTCACTATACTTAATCTACATGTTGGGCAAATAATCCTAGAAGGTGGACTATATGAAGAAAAACATTACATCAGGATTGCAGGAAGACTCATTAACAACCTATAACATGCAGATGATAAAACTTGGTTTGCTGAAAGTGAAAAGGACTTAAAATACTTACTGATGAAGATTAAAGATCACATCCTTCAGTATGGACTGCACCTCAATATAAAGAAAGCAAAAATCCTTACTATGGTACCAATAAATAACATCATGATAAATGGAGAAAAGATTGAAGTTGTCAAAGACTTCATTTTGCTTGGAGCCACAATCAACACTCATAGAAACTGCAGTCAGAAATCATACGACACATTGCATTACGTATATCTGCTACACAAGTCTCTTTAAAGTGTTCAAGTGTAAACATAATAGTTTGAGGACTAAAGTGTGCCTGACCCAAGCCATGGTATTTTCAATACTCTCATATGCATG